ACAAAAAAGCTTACTGTCTTTTGCCTTAAATTATTATTTGATCCTTTATTGTAATGTTACTGGGTTTTTATATTTTTAAATATGCTTGGATTTCTTACAACTGTTAGCTTTTAGCTTCCTGTGTTTGTAATATTTGAGATAATGATATATTATGGGAATAGTATAATTATCATTGAATTACTAATAACTATGCTCAATATTAATTCATTTTAAGATAATTTTTAAATTTGAATAACAAAGGTCATAAGCTCCTAGAATATTTTGCAAATGGTGCTATGTAATAGTCTTAGAATCATTTTCTTAAGTGATCGCTGCCTTTTCAAGGGGTTTTCAGCTATATAGAAGTTACATTTGGCTCTGCAACTTCTTGTTATACTGTCCAACAAAGTATCTCTAAAGGCTTGTGGTTAGAAATCACCACGTTATACTTTCTTAAAGTAATTTCTGGTGTATCAGAGGAATTCTTGTGCTGGTATTACTGTAACTGCAATTGCCAGGAATATATATCTAATTACAGTTAACAAGGATAGGTTTTTTTTTTTTTTTTTTTTAAACTTAGATCAACCTCAAATGACATTTTTGGGTGCTATTGCCAGAAATCACAGGCTACCTTTTCTTTTAGATTTACATATAATGACTTCAGCTGCCATACTGTATTGTCAGTTGCATGGGAGTAACCCCGTAAGTGGCCATGGTGTGAGAATTTAAGGTAGTGCTAGTTATTTGCATTATCGTTTCAGTAATGGAAACTGGCAGCAATTCTGAAGCAGATTAGTGTTTGGCTTTAGCTGACTCCGTTCTTGAGTAAGTAAGCAGATTTGCAGAAACTGGCATTGTAAAACAGAAAGTTGGCATTATTGTCAAACTACAAGTATGTAGCCCATTTCCTCAAAGTATTACACCAAGGGATACAAGGAACAAATAGACCAAACTAGAAAGGAAAAAGAATTGGAAATTGCTAAGCATAGGGAGAATGTCTGTATTTTATGTAAAATATCTAAGTTCGGAGTTCTTTCCAGGCAGTTTTGTCCCTTAAGCCTTCCCAGCTTGGTCAGCACCAAGAACGCAACTACCCTGCAAGCAGGAGTTGGCTGCTGGGAATGGAGGGAGAAGGACTTTTGTCTATGTCCATCATAGAATCTTCACAGAATGGTTGAGGTTGGAAGGGAGCTCTACAGATCATGTAGTCCAATTTCCTGCTCAAGCAGGAACACCTAGAGCATGTAGCACAGGGTCGCATCCTTCTTGAACTCTTCTTGATTTTTGTGCAACAGATTTTTGTGCAACTCCGGGCAAGAGTCATCACATGTTGCATCTGGATCCTTAGCATTATCTTACCCAAGATGTTCTCAACCTCTCCCAGTACGTGCCAATGTGAGGAAGAAAGAAACATTCAGCTGCTGAGGAAAGACCTGTCAATCCACCAGTCTCTGCTCAGTCCTTGCCTCAAGGCACAGCTTTCTAGCTAAATGAGAAAAATGTGTGAAGCAGATAAAATCTAGACTTCTCTTAAACAGGAATTGTTGCCCAGTGCCGACTATCAAATATAGGATGAGGTCAGGGATTATTCTGTTAAATATGTTGTTCTCCCCGAGAAAGCTGGGTGCAATTCTTCTCCATCCTGTGCTTGAGGTTGCTGTACAACACTAATGTTTGTTACTAACAAATCGTTTGTCAGAAGAAGCTTTCTTTATTTGGTTGGTTTTGTGCTGGCAACTTTACTTGGCTTCATGAACTCTTTTATTGTAGTCCTAAATAAGTTGTTGTACTGAGTTTTGGAAGCAGCAAATGTTGGCTTACATTACTGAGAAATACTCTGATTGATCTTCTATCATTTTCTGGAGAGCAAGGAGAGATTGAATAGCTTTTCTATGCAATAGCTTTACTATAAATATAAGCATATAATTATTCCTAAAAAGAGGCACCAAACTTGTATCACAGTAATACTTGTACTGCAGCACAAAGGTGCTCAGATGGTTCAGAGGATGCATTTGGCTGAACTGACTTAATTTTAAAGTTTTTCTTTTTTTTTTAGGGGATCAGGATCTTTGTGTATACGTACATGCACATACCACGTTCTGTCTTTGTGGTGCTAATGTCATCTGGGAGTGGGTGTGAGAAAGGAGCTCCCTTCGGGGACGTAGTGTCCTGCGCAGCTGCTGCTGCAGCTTTCTCCTCACTCCTGTAGGAGCCTCTGCAGGCTCAGAAAGCTAAATTGAGGTGCCTCCTGTGTCTGTAAGGCGTGTATTAGGACACTTAGAGTTCTTACATGCAAGGTACTTCCTGCCAAAAATGAGACATTCTTGTCAGCGAATGTATAACCTAGTTCTCTACTTTCCTCAGAATAAAGCTGTAAAAGAATCCATCTCTGGCTTTCAACAAAACCCTGTTGAATTCTGTATGCAGCTTGGTAGGTGAGAGCTGAAATCTTAGTGCTTTGGAGTGGGATTAAAGCAGTGCAGAAATAAAGATTGTTTTTCTTCCCCTGCCACTGCCCCTTTTCTTTTTCTTTTCCTTTTTCCTTTTTCCTTTTTCCTTTATTTATTTTTCTTAAGTAGAAGAATAGCATTGTTTCATACAGAGCTTTGGATGAAAGTTATGAATATTAAAATAATAACCATCTTGCACCACCTGCTGAATTCCATCTTATTTGGCTAGTGATGTGCACTCCCTGTGGAGGATCCGCCTGCTCTGCTTACCTTATCTCTGAGCGTTTGATTAGCAAGGCTTGCACCATATCAGTTACAAACACATGGGTCCACATGATTCCATGTAATCGAAAATAGACTGACACGAGGTGCTGAAAATTAAGACTGGAAAAAAATTAAGAGAGCAGAGTCCTGACTATAAGAGTAATCATGACAAGGAAAGATAACTTGGCTGTGAAACATACTGAAAGCTTTCATGCGTGTAAAATTATTTCTGTGAATTTTGGTGAAAAAATACTGAAGTACTTTTGAGTGTGCCTGATTTGTCAAAGTGTTTTCATAGAGTTAGCATATTGAAGTGCAGGATTTGGCTGTAAATTTTGGGATTAGGCAGAGACTCCCATTAAGAGGGGTGAGATTTACATAGATGAGTTGAGAACATACTGCTCTGCACCCCCTCACAGGTCTCTCACTACTGTAAAGCACATCTGTTAGGTGAATTAGTATTCTTTGAAAGTGCCAACTGATCTCCCTGGAGAATAAAGTCAGTGTCTGTGATGGATGCGGCAAAGGTAGCAGCATGACAAGTTTTCCTCTGTGTGCCTCTGAAAGGACAACTGTGGTCAGCAGTGCTGCTTTCCAGAAGCCAGTGAGGTACCCGGGGCCGAGGTGAGGGTGGCTGAGCCAATAAAGTGAGGTGCTGTGCAAGCCAGTGCAGGGCCCTGCAATAGACTCTGACACATTTCTAAGGTTTTGCCTTAAAGTACAGATCAAATAAAAGTTTGACTTTAAGTAGGAAAGGTATATAAAACAGCAGAAAGAGAATTAAATAATTAAAAAATACCTTTAAAAATGTGGGAGGATTATACACAATAAATATTGCTGACAATATGTTATACATTTCTAGGAAGCTCTAAGCTAATGTGCTAAGGGACACAATCTGTACAACAGAAGAGAATATTCTCAGTTTTTATTTACTCTCAGCCCCTAAAACTAGTATGGAGGCAGTTTGAGCTCTTTGGCTATTTGAGATGCACCCTATGAACTAGCCAGTATCAGCTGGGATAGTGCTTTTACACTGTTAACTGATCAGCTTGAGTTAAATGACACATTCATTATACCCAAACCAGAGAATAGTGTTCACAGAGAAAGGCAACATCGTTAACAATGACTGAATCTGCATAGTTTGATTCTAAAAGCCTATGTCTCTTTTAAGTAATTATTTTTATATTTTAGTTCTGTGAAACATCCATCTGAGGAAAGATAATGAATGGTCTAGCACGGGAAAATTTCTGTGTTCCTTTTCTTTATTTCCTTTCTAAACTGCATTTCAGCTTCCACAAATCTTCCAGCCAGAGGGATGCATTGATTCGTTATTATGGTCTCTCACTGTAAATCTCTTCCGGTAAATACCAACGAAGGGGTCATAGTAAGGCTTTTTCTAGGGACACGCTACTTAGTAGTTTAAAGCAAAATAACAAATACAGTCCCTGTTTTATGGTGGGTGTTTGTGCTCCTTTTGTATGTGCAATAAGCTGTGCAAAGGCTGTGAGATTCAGCCTATCGTGCTTTATTTCTCAATACCAAAAACTAGAACAGCTTTCTCCCTCCTTATCTCTTTTTCGCACCTATACTGAAGCTTTTATATTTCCATTGTCTCCTATTAAGTTGTGCCTTAAGATCCATACTCTAACCAGAAGTTGGCCATCAACTTGGGTTGTTTAGCCCTTCTACTGTAAAATATTAAGTTGCAATGATTGGTGCAATGATCAAAAATGTGAAAAACCTTTACTGGTGTGTATATTAATAAAATACATTAGTATTAAGCGGTAAATGATATAAACACATTAGAATTTGGAGTATCTAATATTGCAATATCACAAAGCACTGCTGCCCTCCAGCTCCCAGCGTCATACTACATGCTGGATTTTCCTCAAAGGAAGTCCTTAAGCCTTTATAGCATCTGCCTTGTTGTCTTCTTAATTGATTTCTGATCCAAGCTAATCCTTATTAGTTCCACAAGTTATTGTTATTATTGGTCATTTAAGGAAGTCTCCTTACAGAAGCAAAGGATAGCATCCTTTAAAAAGCAAGCAGCATTTTGGTTATCAAGACCACAAAGACAACTAAAGTTTCATCTTTTTATCAGTCTGTGGCAAGTTGTTGGAATATTTTTGGTCAAGAATGTCCTCTGATGACTGTATGCATGCAAGCCCTTCTTCCCCACCTCTCACTCACAAATTCCATTGCAGATCTTTTTCACCATTTGTCAAGGGTCAAATTTTATTTTAATTTCCTTTCACTGTTGTCTAGTTATTTTTGTCTTGTCTTTTTTTCCCCTCTTCCTTTTAGAGGATAAAGTATGGACAACTGTATATCATGACCTGCAAATGCAGACATCTGTGGGAGGCAACAGCCCAGAGAAATTATCTGTGCTGCAGCTCAACTACAGCGCAACTATGGACCAGATTTCTGCCATCACCAGTAGCGCTGAGTACTGTGAGCAGTTTATCTCCTACTCTTGCAAGATGTCCCGGCTGCTGAACACACCAGGTAGGAAGAGATTGGACATAAATTAAATATGTGTTTTTAATGAGCTAATGATCTAAACTAGTTGGCAGGTATTGCCATTAGACCACTCAGTGAATGCATTTTCTAATCCTGCTTCATTAAAGCTCAGGAAGAGGTAAATACATGAAAATAAAGAGGAAAATATCTTATTAGGAAATGTTGCCATTTTGCAAGTTATGGAGTAATGTGACAGGTCCATGGATTTTTCTCTCAGATGTGATGCTCTTTAAAGCAGAAGGGTTTTGGTAAACAGGATGTCTTTGAAAGTTTGATTGATAGAGATTATGAAAAGCTGCTTTGGCCTGGATCCCGTGTGTGTCTGTGTGTCATGATGTTATAATCATTTGGAGCCCTGGAGGAGGATTGAAAACTTTGTCCTTACAGTATTTCTGGAACAGTTGCTTCAACATGGAGCATTTGTGGGTCATCTGATGCCTTCTGTGCTGCAGAAGTCGGCATGGTCTACAGCGTGGTTACGTCAGAAAGATGATATGCCAGGGGCTACAGGCAGATTCACTGCACGTTTCTTGTGTTGTTGTGTAGCTCTGTTCTAGCTATGCTGACTGTGCTTTCTTGACAAGTCTGACTTATAAGTAATAAGAACAAAAGTATCAGTTGTTGCTAAGGATTGTCTACAGAATCACTCGCATATAAGAAAGGAATTCATTTTAGAGATCCTTTTAATATGCAGTTAAAATATTTTATGTATGCTAATTGTGTGATAACATTCAGTGTTAAATAACTCTTCAATAGTACTTGACTAAGACTGAAGTATAAGTGGAAGTCTCTAACAGTGTGATTGCAAAATGAATTCATTTTGATTGGCACAATTAAAACACATTTTAGAGGAACCTAGTGGCTGGATACTTAAGAGTGGTATCCTGTACTTGAAGCTGCTTGCCCTCATGAATTCATTTTGGTATATTTCTTATGGTGGAGTAGATAAGAATTCATTTGGCATGCATGTGCATCTTATCCTGATTTCCATAAGTATTCCGTTAGTTAATAGATGTTGTATTGCTCTTTATTCCTCTCCCTCCTCCCTGCTGTTTTTGAACTACTTCTAATGCATGGTTTGTCTCTGTTGTTATTATTTTGCTTAATTTAGCATAGCAAAGAAACTGTGCAGAGAGGAAAGTAATCTCTTCTTTCTTGGGCCTTAATATATAGGATCCTGAACCATGTTCATAACCAGGAGTGTTGTGAGTATGTTCTCCTGATGATACAAGTTCGCACGTGCTTCAGAAGTTTACTTGGACCTGGGCACATGAGCTGAAAATAATGTTCATTCATGTTCTTTCAGAGCATAATGTACATAATATTCATTCAGAAAAAAAATGTGGATTACAGGGTTAGATTCTCCCTCTTTAAACGTGTAACATTGTCATTTCAGGACCAAAGGTACATTTCGGTGTGTCTTTTTATCCTCATAAAATAGATGCATTGTTTGAATAACACTAGCAGTGGTTTCTACCTACAATACAGCAGTGATTTATTTTTAAGTAGGAGAAAGGCTGGTGTGTTTTATCTTCTCAGTTTTCCCTTTTTGGCTTTAATTGGTGATTTCTAAGCTAAGAAACTACCTTTTCCTTCATCTTTTCTCTCTCTCTGTCTCCTACCGGTGTACTGCTTTATTTGCTAAATAGGTTTTGACATCATACTCATCCTGGGGCACAGGTCCAAGCACTTGTGTGGCTTCTCCTGACAGAGAGCTTTCTCTGCAGATCCCTGCAGTATGGGACCTATAGGAAGAAAAGGTGGGGGGAAGAGCCCCCAAAACAGGTGTTTTGCATTGCTCAGGTGGTGGGATCCTGCATTTGTTGAAGCCAGTAGCAAACCCCTATAGACTTTAGGGAAGCAGGACAGCATTTGAGGCCTTGACTACAGATGCTTCTCTAGGAAAGAACTTTTTTCTTTCCAGCTTTCAGAGTAGATAACCACTGAGAAGAGGTTGGTTCTCCAGTGCTTTTAAGTTGCTTCAAAGGAGATAAAGAAAGCTGAGAAGGCAGTACAAGAATCCAGTGCTTTCACCATTTTGCTCTTTGAGCTTGACACATACAACGTGATTCCTTCTCTAGGAGAAACAAGCTCAGTTAACACAATTTAAACCAAATCAAGACTGAAACAGTTTGTTGATTTATAAATGACGTGTAATTACCTGACCATCAGTGAACCCGTGCTGCTTTGAGCCCTGCATTTCCTGACAAGCTAGTAAGGGTATATGCAATTGGAATAAGGTATGCTTTGCTGCTAATAATAACTAGATGGTTTGCTACATTTAGGGGGAGACTGCAGCACAATACTGTAGTTTAGAAAAGCCTTCATATTATTGAAATGTTTTGTTGTGGAGCGTTTTTGGCTGTGAGCAGAGCGGTCAAAGATTTCTCATTGTCAAGTGCTTTGAGAGCAGCACAGAGTCAGCAGCCTCCCCAAACAGAGCACTTGTGGGCTTTAGGCTCGGCTATCTATTCCTTCGTGTCCAGGTTGCTTTGTTTTTGTTTTTTTAACCCAGTAAAATATCCAGGTAGCTTTCTACCTGAAGAGAGCATGAAACCAAACATTGGTGCTGAAAATGAACCAAGCTCTTACTACAGATAGCAAGCAATAAAACTACAGGTACACTATGTACTTCTGGAGGAGCTGTTTTCAAACAGAGAGCCCACAGTGGGTACAATTCATGCTGCATTCACTGCATGCCATGAAGTAACTAAATATTGACAAGTGTGTTCAGTTCCCAACTCTGATACAAATTTCCTCTGTGACTTTACGGACTTTTTTTCCATTTTTTCTTTTGTTTTTCCTTCTTTTTTCAGTTCAGTTAATGTGGAGATGATACTTATTTTTCTTTGTGTTGCCTATTTAGATAAGGTTTTTAGAATGCAAACCGCTTTGTGAATAGACAGTTATTAGCATCTTAGAGGCTTGATCTTGGCATTACAAGTAACTACTATTGTAAATATGTGAATGAAATCGTAAGCTCATGGACTATAATTCCAGTTTAATAGTAGTGTGTATGTATATGTAAATTTGCAATGAAATAAACACCAGATTGTTTTGGTTTGTTTTGCTCTTTTAAATTTACATTTTTGATATCATATCTTCTCGTTTCCTTAGAGATTTTGATTTTGAATAGATGACGATACCTTTGTCTGTGAGGATGTACAGAAAGCGAGTGTTTCTCAAGTGCTTGATGCACATGCACTGCTCAGTTGTGCGGGACATTCCCTCTCTTCCAAACGGCAGCCTGGAGGTGGAAGCATGTTCTTGTTCACATTGGAGAAGTAGGCAAAGCAGGGTATGGAATCACTGATGTACTCTGTAAGGGGAAACTTTGTTCCTTTGCTATAAGAAGCATAGTAATATGCAGAACAGCAATGCAGTATACTAATATAATGCAGAATGTAGCTTAATAAAATTAGATATCTTCATCCACTGTTGCCTTTTGACTTCCCAAAACCACCTGCCTGTGGCTTCTTCGGTGTGAGGTTTTCCATGGGCCACTGAGGCAGGGGAAAGAGCGTGATGGTTGGAGACCCCCTTCCTTCATCCTGGGGCAAAGAGTACAAAGGGAAGAGGGCTGCCGTGATCAGGTCATCTGCGAGTCTGTCATTCCTCAGAGCCAGAGTGTAGGAACTGAAAGCACAGGCGCAGCAAACAGAGCAAAATCCGCTGGTGTTGTGTTCCAGTGCTGTTCCTGTTCACTATGCAGGAAAAAAAGCGATGCCTGCAGGCGGCATACGAACAGCATAAAGCAGAGTTATGGCAGTACATGAATTACAGCTTCATACCTGTTTTATTTGAGGGAAAAGAGACAGTAGCTTCAAGAATTCAGGAGTATCTTTTTCTAATAGATAGAACAGAAAATTTAATTTGTTTCAGTTACAATAAGGGAATTGTAATAAAGAAGTAAGATTTATGGTAGACTGAGACAAAAAACAAGTTAAGTATTGCTATATGCATGTGTGTATATATATATATATGCTATATATATATATATGCTATATATATATATAAGGCATCCAAATAAGAATTTTGTACCTAAATCTGCTCACCTTTAGAAGCTAACTGAACTGGAATGCTAGTTACAGATATAACTCCTGCTTAACAAGAGCTTGTCAGGAGGAATCCAACAGAGGAGTGGGATTTTTGCTGTCCTGCGATGATAAATTGGAGCTGCTCCTAAACTAGCTCAGACCTCCGCCTTCAACTATTTATACGCTTTCAGAAATAAAGCCCCCATGTTTCACCCATCCTCTCCACCCTTAAGAATCTTATCATTTGACCAGCTCTTCTATCATTGTTCTAGTAAAACGGATTTTACTTTCCAGTGATTTTTTTTTCAAGCACAAGCTGGGACCTATGTCCTTATCAGCTACTGTGATCTACATTCTCTTACTCTGTAAGTGGAAATCAATGACTTTTGGAGACTTTAATTGTGTAATTCTTGTCATATTGCTATAGAAATGAAACAGCTGCTATAGAACCAAAGCAGACTGACTCATTTCTGGTGAAATATGAATGGGCTTCTGGACTTTCCTCATTCATAAAGAGGTCCTCCTTTACAGTCTGTTTTTCATATGCCCTTCTCTCTTGTCTTCATTTCACTCTGCCCCTTTGCTCATCCCTTAGTTCTTCCATTTAGGTTTTTAAATACTAAGACCCTTCACCTTCTTCACTTGCCCTTCATGCTTAATGCTTTCAGCTAGCGAGTTCATTTTGCTAATTTCTGAAGTCAATCTTCACTGTTGTCTAGGAATTAGATGTGATCCACTAGCATAGAGTGAAAGAGCCTACCTTGTGTTTTGCTTTTTTTGTTAGACATAATTGTAGCTGCTAGCAGTTCTGTGAATTTTAGAAACCCATTATGGAGAGCCTAACTGTGCTGCTGTGAGTGCTAATTTCTTTTTAAGAAAAAGTGGGATGCTTAAGTTGTAACTTCGCAGTTACAGCAGACAGTTCCAAGAGCTGTTGCTCATACTCAT